TATTTCCACTATTTTCCTGAGTTATAAATATACAGCTGTAAAAAACTTATTATAGAAAGTCAAATAGAAATATATAGTAGATTTTTTTTATATTATTTAATTTATTTAACAACAAAAATGTTTCTTACAAAAAATCTGTTTACAAATTTGAAACGTGGTTAACGTGGTCTTTGCAAAGGAGCAGAGGAATTTTTTTTTTAAAAGGCTTCACTTGACACTTGATCCCACATCACTTGAATGCTCAATTCTTAATGATGTAGGCTGACTATCTATACTATTACTAATCCTTTTCTTAATCTTTTAAATTCATTAAAACATTATATATCTTACAGTTTTTTAAAGAAAAAAAAAAAATATATATATATATATATATATATATTACAGTTTATAATTGTATACAAAACAGCTATTTGTCTATTTCTTTTTTTTTTTTTTTGAATAATTATTTATCTATTTCTCCATGTATGTAAACTTTTTGTTCTAAAATCTGGTGCATTTTTTGGTAAAAAACTCTGGTGTATTTGAAACGTGCCAATAACAAATGAACCGAAGATACCCCATTAACTGTAGCTTTGGCTTCCGCCACCGCAGGGGAGGCTCTTCCTCCTCTCTCACTTCCCTCTCATATTGCTTTCTCTTCTCCCCGGCAGTGTCTTCTTCTCCTCTTCTCACTCCTTGCGGCATCTTGTGCCGGCGCTGTTGCTTATTCTATTCGACCTAGGGTTCGTTGAAGGTCACGTGACGCAGCTTTTGGGGTTCTTGTGAAGGCTAGACAAGGAAGGAGCGCTGTATCTTTTCTACGGTTTAGTCTCCGGTTGGCTCTAGCAATTGCTCTCGTCTTCATAGCAGTCTGGAATGGCGTTGTTCTTCCACGATGGTGTGTGGCTGGCCAGATATGTGGAGTGTATTTGGAGTCTTTGAATAGAGGTCTCTGATGTTTCCAAATATGGGCTTTGCGTCCTCTGTGTTGGTGGTAGTCTATATCCGTAGTGGCTCACTGGCTCTTGCGGCTGTAGTATACAAAGTTGGTCTCCTATCTTTGGAGTTTGGCCTTAGGTAGTGGCGATCCATGGATCTGCCTTGATCTCCTTGTGTGGTGTTGTTGGTGGTGTCAGATAGATCTTTGTAGCTGACGTTACGAATGGTTTTGTTGGTCTATGCTGTTAGTTGATGGGTAACTTGGTTCTTTTGCAACGGAATCATTTATGGCCCTATCTTGTGAGCCGGCTCTAGTCTCTTTGTTTAAATTTATCAGTGTGTAGCCTTGCTGTTGGTAGTGGTTTGATTTCTTGTTTCTATGTTTGATGCTCTGATAATTAAGTCTTTGATTCTTTGTCTCGTTGGAGATTGATGGTGGAGTTTCTGTAACTAACGTATGCTTGTCATCCGTTCAATTTGTTCTTGGTTCTTGTCAAAGGGGTTAGGCATTGCTCCTTGTTTTATGGTGGTTTCTATCTTAGGCATTTACTAGTTGTGTCATTTGTTGTCCGACTTTATCTGTATCATTTTCATCCTATGAAAAGCTTTGTGATGATGATGGTTCTAATAGTGTTGTAGGGAGGTTGTTTCTCTTTTGCGTGGAAGTCTGCGAACACTTCATAGAGCAAGTATTGCTCCAATAAGCCATCAAGATAGGTAAAAATAGGCACCGTAATACATGTTATGAAAAATATGTTCTCGACTTCTGGTTGATGTTTCATGTTTGAAATATTGATGCAGTTGGAATAGTTGGATTACAGTACCTTCTGGTGAAATTTAAGGTCCTTCGTACTCTCTAAAGGCAAAAGAATGTCACATTGACCAGGTTTGACTTTCGTATATGTAAATAAAAAAAAAACTCTTTTGTGATTAGAATGTCACACTAGTCTTTGTATTAATGGTTCATTAGTCTCTTTTGTGGCAGATTTTGGAGATAGGGGAGAGCTGCCTCCATCCACGACTAGCTTTTGAAAGAGTCTTCTACAGTTACTTTAGTATAGATATGGATCTTAAGTGGCTTACCACCATGAAAATTCTTACCGGTCCTATGGCCAGTGATGTGAATGGCAAGTCCCTTGAGTCTTTGAATATTAAAAAGAGAGATCTAGCTACGGTTACGCTCAAGGTTGATTCCTGACACATTGCACGAACGCGCCGGGTGTAAGGTCTTTATAATTACCAAAACATATGTGACAACCTCAAAATGTGATATAAACAGATTTGTATTTTTTTGATTTTAGAGATCTCAAGAACATAATGATATAGCATATCAAAGAGCTGGACTTATCCAAGTGGGAGAAGATATCAGTTCCTAAAAGTTTCCTACATATCTAAACATGAGACGGGTTCTCAGCTTCTTAATTGGATTTCTATACATGTATATTGTTGGTTTTTGGGACAGTAATAAGAGGTGTTGTTACACTAATCCATATTTATGGAAATGGAAGAAATCCTTGGAGAAATCTCAAAAAATCTTACAGTGAAGAAGGTAATCAAACTATTTCTTCTCATTTCATTATTCTATTTTTTTGCAACCTTTTTTTTATTTCATTATTCTTTTTCATTCTCTACTCCATTGCTTGATTGCTTGAGTTGTACATAAGAGAGAGGCTTGCAGAGGCCCAAGCAAATATAGGCTTCTTGAGATCTTTTTGTAAAAGCAAATATGTCATTCTTCATTTGTTATGGTTGACCTTATCTCTACTAGTTTTCACAAATTAAATTTAGCGAAGGAAATAATTAACTAATTAAAAACATTAGAATATATAAAACCAGTTACAAACAAAACATCAGAATATATCATATTTTATATTTTGGAATATATGAATTGGCTAAACATTAGTTTTAACGTCAATATATAAACCTATAAACAGTTGCAGCCAACACATAGAAAACTAAAATTTTATATTTATTGAAAATTAAAAATAAATTTATTAAACTAAAACAGATTATTTTTTTCAGGTTTAAGAGGATTAAGTTTTTTTTTTGGATTTCATGTTATTATTTATTTTATGATGAAGATATAAGTGTTTTGGTTCATATTTTTTTCCAAATACTATTACAATACTATCATTATTATAATTAACACCGGTATAAAAATTATCTGACAAGTTATAGAAATGTACTATAACAATAAATAAGAAGAAGACAAATTTCAAGTTGTCATCTAAACTTCTAAACTATTGAAGGGGAAATACAAAATAGAAATAACCCTTAGCTTTGCTCAGAAATTACAATAGAGTGCCACTGCAATTAAAACACTGTAGTTTTGTTCTTACATGGGCTTTAATATAGGTTTAAAGTCCAATAACTTTAAATAAAAACAAAATTGCCCAAAACCAAACAACCCAATTCAATTTTAAAAATGACATTTGTTAATAAAATTGCTAAAGTTCTTATTTTTGTCTTTTTTTGCTTTGTAAATAATTTATTTAAAAAAAATAAATATAAAGTATAATTTTAAAATATAATTGCAATCACAAAATTTATAATATAGGGATTCTCTGGATCGAGTAGGGATTCTCTGCTGATAGTAAAATCGAAATGGTTACTAACACCAGACTCATAGCCATCCGCCTCAAAGGATGACGTGAGAAAAGGGCCCGGGTAGTCAGAGTGAAGGGTCATCGCCGATTCAATGGCCATTGTTTGAGCTTGCTGGTATTAAGGATATAGATGTAGATAAGGAAAGGATTGTATTGTCAATATCATTGACCTAGTTCTACCGTGTAATCTCTTATATATTGTACTCTTATCACATCTAATAGAATTACATTCCACATTCTATATGGTATCAGAGCTATCGCTCCTAAAAACCTAAATTTTCTTTTTCCCTCACGCCCCCATCTATGGCTTCTTCAAACAACTCATTCCCTGTGGAAACCATTACAACCAACCCATCAAACCAAACCATACTCAACATAAACATGTCTAACGTATCAAAACTTTCAGCCACCAATTACCTCATGTGGAGTCTTCAAGTCCACGCTCTGGTGGATGGATATGGCCTTATTGGTCATCTTGATGGATCCATCGAGGTTCCAACTCCTGATCTCACAGTCAATGGTGAAACAAGTCCGAATCCAGACTACATCATCTGGAAAAGACAGGATCGTCTGATCTATAGTGCGCTTATTGGAGCCATCACACTGCCTCTACAACCCTTGGTCTCTCGCGCTGCCACAGCCGCTCAAGTCTGGGAGACTTTGTCTTCCACCTATGCTAAACCAAGTCGAGCACACATCAAGAATCTGCGAAACCAACTTAAGTACTGGAAGAAGGAAAATAAGACTATCGATGTCTATATTCAAGGTGTTACCACAAGACTTGATCAACTGGCTATTCTTGGCAAGCCAATGGATCATGAAGATCAGGTTGATGCGATCTTGGAGGGTCTGCCAGACGAGTACAAACAAGTTATTGATCAAATAGAAGGACGTGAGATTGCTCCTTCAGTCACAGAGATCCATGAAAAATTACTCCATCATGAAGCCAAGCTGTTGTCCTCCTCTCCGGTACCACAATCCATCTTTCCTGTCTCTGCAAATCTGGTGCAAAACAAGAACCAGACAGCATTTAACAACTCGGGCAACAACAGGCCACACAACAACTCCTCCAACAACAATTCCTACAACACACACGTGAGGCCAAACAACAACAATACGAAGAACAATTGGCAACATCAGTCTCGGGGTTCAAGACCATACCTTGGAAAGTGTCAGATCTGTCGCACACAAGGGCATGGTGCCACGAGATGTCCTCAACTTCAAAGCTTCCAAGCGGCTTCTCAGCAGAGCCCTTTCACGCCATTCCAGCCTCGTGCTAACATGGCTGCAGCTAGTCCTTACACGGCCAACAACTGGCTGCTTGACAGTGGTGCGACTCACCACATAACCTCGGATCTCCAAAACCTGTCACTGCATCAACCATATGAAGGAGGTGAGAATGTGGTGATTGCAGATGGATCACACCAATCCATCACACATACGGGTTCCATTTCACTCCCTTCTCCAAATAAATCTCTTGTTTTACAAGACGTTTTGTGTGTTCCTAAAATACACAAGAACTTGATTTCTGTACATGGTTTATGTAATACTAATCAAGTATCGGTGGAATTCTTTCCTTCATCCTTTCAGGTGAAGGATCTGAGCACGGGGGCCCGGTTAATCCAAGGCAACACTAGGGGTCAGTTATATGAATGGCCAAGAATAACGCATACACCTACGGCTATGTCTGCATCTACAACTTCTAAGGCTACGATGTTTTCTTGGCATTCTCGTTTGGGCCACCCCTCTCTTCCCATTTTAAACAAAACAGTCTCTCAATTTTCACTTCCTGTTTCTCAGATTTCAAATAAAACTCTTTCTTGCTCAGATTGCTTGATTAATAAAAGCCATAAACTCTCTTTTTCTGAATCAAGTTTAAGTTCTACCAGACCTCTTGAAATCGTTTTTACTGATGTGTGGTCTTCTCCTATCCTATCGAATGATCACTTTAAATACTATCTTATCCTAGTTGATCATTATACTCGATACTCTTGGTTATACCCTCTAAAACAGAAATCTCAGGCCAAGGGAACATTCGTGGCCTTCAAAGAGCTAGTTGAAAATCGGTTTCAAACACGGATTGGGACACTATTTTCTGATAATGGTGGAGAATTCATAGCCTTAAGATCATACCTTCAACAACATGGGATTTCGCATCTGACGTCTCCTCCGCATACACCAGAACACAATGGAGTTGCAGAGAGAAAACATCGCCATGTTGTGGAGACTGGTCTGACGTTGATGTCACACGCATCCATGCCTAAGGAGTACTGGCCATTTGCATTCGCCACAGCGGTGTATTTGATTAATCGATTACCAACTCCAAACCTTGGTTTCAACTCACCATATCAGAAGCTTTTTCTCAAACCACCGAACTACAACAGACTCCGGATCTTCGGTTGTCTCTGTTTCCCGTGGCTCCGTCCCTATACGAAAAATAAGTTGGAAGATCGATCATGTGAGTGTGTGTTTCTCGGTTATTCAACGACTCAAAGTGCTTACCTTTGTGCTCATCTTCCCACTGGACGAATTTACACATCAAGACACGTGATTTTTCAAGAAATGAGTTTTCCGTTTGCTGCTACAAAACATCGACAGCCTGAGATTGTAGAGCTTGCGAACAATCTGGGATCATTGAATCATCCTCCGGTCACGACGATTCCTGTTCCACGACCTCCTCCACCAGCAACTGCTTCCCCGTGCTCGGATTCTCACCATGGCTCGCCGACTCCGTCTCCGGTTAATCATCCTCAGCCTCAGGTATCGTCCTCTAACTCTGCAACTCAATTCTCTTCTTCCCCTAACTCTGAGCCCACTGCTCCAATTCAAAATGGGCCGCAACCCACGGCCCAGCCCAACCACTCATTAAATGAAACCCCCCAGGCTACCAATCCTCAAACACAGCCCATACCCACATCACACCAAACTCCTCAAGCCATTGAACCAGAAATTACGACAACTTTATCTCAAAACCAAAATCCAATTCCTGAACCTGAACCA